TTTCCTGCGTGATAAGCAAATAATCAATGAAAAAAAATTACTTACCGCTTGTCGTTTATTACGAAGGATCATCGAATTTTTCAGTAAAATTTTCACTCTAGAGAAACTAAATAGCAGCAATCACGATACACATGTTCTCTTGTGTGTTTTGTAGATTAAGAAACCCCTTCGGCGACACTTGCCATATTATTCAATTTCGTAAGATATACAGCAGACAGAGATAAACCCAAACTTTCATCCTTGCGTGGGATGTTGGCTTACAGAATTTGTTCGATGCACTCTTTGCTTGCAAATTGACCAGTTGTTTTGCTTATGATTACGTGCTGAAGATTGATGAATAAGGTTGTTGACGGTAGTTTTTCCTATGTTTTCTTCGTTGGAATAAAATTGTCCTATTGAGAGAAATAAATTGAGGTAGTAAGATGACAATTTTGTGTATTTAAAAAAATATATTATGAAAGTAGCTAGTATGCATTTAAGAGTATAAAATTTAAATATACGTATATCGTTTATTTTATTAGATTGAAGTGGCTTCACCCTATTGAATTTTGAATTGACATTTAATATAAAATCTACTTTCACTGTTTATCTTATGGTTAAATTTGTCAGATGGATATGAGAAATAAAATATTTTATTCCCACTCACTTTACATTTATTAAACATTTATATGACTATTTTGACGTTTTGTTCTATAACTGTGAAATACTTCTGATGTAATTATTCATTGATGCAATTTTCATCTACGAAAAATAAATCTTAATAAAAAAGTTTAAATAAACATAGAAAAAACAATAATTCAGCCACATGTCGTTACGATAATTGCTTGAGGAAATAGGCTGCTTGTAAGTACGAGCTATGGAAATAAAAGCCTGAAACAACTTTACATGTGGAGCACACACTTGACGTAAAGGGAAGAGATTGGCAAAACATTTGTATCTTTGAAATCATTAAGATTTCATTAAGATTTAAATTGCTAGTGAAACTTGCTTACGCACGCGAAGCTTATAAGCTTTTCTTCGATCTATTTTCATTCGGATAACCGCCGCCTCGTCGTTTGAAATTTTCATGTGAAGAAATCTATGAATGTGGACGTCGAGTTATTACGATTCTATACCGAAACTTTTAATGGGTATCCGTTTCCATTCCGCAAGATTTTTAGATTTTTTTCACGCTTCGCGTCAAAAATGACAATGAGAAAATTGAATTGTTATCTATTGAACACTTCATTGGATCTACGGAATTATCTTTTCTAGAGTTCACGTGTATTTTCAAACGAATTTATCTTCGTGAATGCACATAATTCATACTCTAAAACTTAAGCTTCAAATCACACTATATATAACGTAATTTAAAAAAAAGCATTATGTAATTTCATGAAACCACGAAGAAAGTATGACATTTTTTTCATTCGCTCAGTCATATAACATCTACTGTTAATCTCTGTCATAAAAAAGTGCAAAGTCCGCGAACAATCTTCTTTATATATGATCCAAATCTCATGGAACTTTATAGTTCCACGAGAAAAAAGTTTGTTATTCGAATTTTCTTTTAATTGCGGAGATTTTTCAACGATGAAACATTGACAAGCGTTAGATTATATTCCCACGAAAAGCCGCAATTGATTTTTTTTGTCGATTGAATTTATAAAACTCATGCAAATGAGGAATTTCAAGCATGGATTGTGCATCCGTGTTGAATCTGATTTAATTCAATGCATGAGTTTAAACGCTGGAATGATCTTCGACTAGATATGTGTTGTTACGTACAATTATTATTTCAATGAATAAAATCATTTAATGATGTAAAATAAATTATTTTTATTCCATTTACGTATCAATGAACTAATTTTTAAACTTCTCTCCTTTTTTCAAAATTGATTTCTGTACGCAAGATGAAAATAAAATTTTTTTTATTATGTTTTTTTAGTTTTTTGAAATAAAATCTTTGCTCTTTTCCATAATTATAAAAGAAAAATTCTCAGCTCGACTGAATAATTTGCTTGAAAATTTATCGTAATACCTACGCCAGTACAATCACAACACTATCGAACTATCGAATATAGCGAAAGTATCTTTGAAACTTTCTAAAAATAAGCAGCCATTCAAAACGAAGAAACAGGCCTCCATTTCCAAGGAAGAAAAAATACTCGGTATCACTATCAAATTAATCACAGAGATTTCATCTTGGAATTGACGAAGAGAAAAATAAACAAAGGCTCAAGTGCTGTTTAGCCAGGCAAGAAAAAGCTTATCGACTCTGAAAAATCGGTGGATTTTTTGAACCAGTACCGTTAATCGTAATAGCCTCAGCGTATTTTTATAAGCAAGTCGGCGGGCACATGGATTGTTGAAGGAAAGTTTCGCGACATAGTTGTAACAAGGAAAGTTTCCTCGCTACAACAGGTAAAGAGTTTGCCTTTTCTCATCCAATTTGTTTTGCGAATAACTTGTAAAATGTTCAATTTCTATTTTACGGGGATGGATCAAGTTTTTCAAGAACTCGAGAGATTTCTTTTCGTGCGTGTTAAAGTGAATGCTGTTATGAGACAGTGGTGTATTACGCATTGCTTTCGCTACACCCGTCAAAGAGAATGCAGAAAACTATGAGAAAGCCACCGAACTAGTTGATATATTAAAATAAAATCCAAATCCTCGATTGCATTCTTTCGATTCTCTCGATAAATAAATGTGCAGTAGATTGATGCAATAAATGTGGAGTAGATTGACGATCTTGCATCAAATGATCACTATTAAAATTGGGATTGACTTTCAATAGTCGACGCAACGTCTAGACGACCAACGACTGTAAAAGTTACAATTTTCGTGCATTCGAAAGCCCGTTGCGGTTGACGAATGCAAAATAATATTGGCTAGCCGCCAAATTTTACTTCACCAGCCATAACGACTCTCGCCTGTTTTTGTTTATAAACTGATATCCACTCGAATTTTCCGCCATTTCCAGAGAATTACCGTTAAGTATAAATCGCACGCAAGTCCGTTGCAATAATTACAATATCCAGAGAAAGACCTTAATTGTACGCGAAAATCGTCTACACCTTCGGTGATACGTTTGCAAATGAAAGCAAAAGAAATGTTAAAAAAGCGTGGACGGCTTTCGTAGCGATTAATCTGTCGTCGGCATGCGAGGCAGGAAAAAGCCGAAAAGCCGATCGCCTCCTCCGTTTCGCGTTCGCTCGTTCGCTCGTTCGCTCGCAAAGAAACAACGAAAAGCGCGCTTGATTTTCCATTGCCGCAGAGCCGTGAGTTTATCGTGGCGCAATTCACATACCTCGGGACAGCTAGAGAATGAATTTTTTTTCTTTTTCGCTTTGTCGCTTCGTCGTTCTGAAATCGCATGACGCTTGTCACGGTTTTCTTGATTTGAAAACTAAATATTTCTCAGTGCACCTACATCTCCTTAAAGAAAAGGAATTATTATTTCGCGAGCTCAGTCTAAACAAATATTTCTGGCGGGGGGAAAGAAGGGTTGGGTTTAGCATGAGCAATATTCGTGTGAATATTTGCTTCTCTTTCTTAACTTATGACTCGTGACATGACTCGTTTTATCTCCCTCTTTCGCTCTTATTTAACGGGCGCACTTTGTACGATGTTTTGAAAGGCGTTGATCTTCGCCACACTGATTTATAAGAGAAAAAGGCAGAAAGCGTATTAGCTCCGTATTGATTAGTACGTTACGATTTTGTTATTTTTTATTTTTCGTTTCTGACTGGACACAATATTATGTAGACGGAGCGGTTAATTTTCAATGTTGATGTTTTGTAAAAAGAAGAATTTCCCACCAGCGGCAACCAAATGAACGATAACATTGACCAACGCCAAGTGCAATTATTATGCAGAATGTTTGGCTATCCATAACTACTGCCAGAAAAGCCTCGACCATGCAAGTCTTCTCGCTCTACCGCACGATACGTAACCGGGATAACCGACGATTGATGAACGTCGTGTCCGAATTTATTTTTAGGGAGCACACGCTTTAGCCGTTCCATCGAAACCCGTAGGAATTTTATTACAACTCGACTCCCTCTCCACTATACAATCATTGTGTCCTCTCTGGTCCTTCGTAAGAAGTGCACGTGGCGTTTGTCGTGTGCTCAGACGGCCACTGGCTTCGATTTTTATGTGCGATAGATAGGCTTGCTATCGATTTCATCAATTTTAAATAGTTTCAATGGATCACGCGATTAATAGACGAGTTAACCTTCTAAATTTGTATTAGACGAGTCTGTAAGGTCATCCACGCCAGAATCTTAACTAATACGATTCTATAATTGATAGGCCTAGATTCGGAAATCGAGAAAAATACAGCCGAACTGTAAAAATGCTCATCGTCGGAAATTAAAATAAAATAAAATAAAATAAAAAGTAAAATGCTACACAGGCGGATTGAAGGATACGCGACGCTGACGTCATTTATTGAAGGTTTATTAGCATCTAAATTTAAAAATTCAGAAAAAGACCAGAAATAACGCAGATCCCTCATAGAATGATGCGAAACTAGCTGACATCTCTGTCTAACGAGCTCTATTTCATCGCTTTTGTTGTCCGGAAAAAATGTCTTTCTAATGTTTTTTAACAAGCTAACGCACTATTATGAAAACTCTCTATTTCGGTGCAGGCAAGCACCTGAAAAGCGAATCCTCGCTACACACGTCGATGTAAATGCAAATGAGTAGAGCGAGGCTTTCCAAAACTAATTTGGTTGATGAGATCTGGAAGCTTCGCCAAATCGAGATTCAATATGTAGGTCAAGCCGCGCTCTGCAATATTGTTTGAACTGACTACTTATGCGGTGACGAGAAAGATAAAAAAGGAAAAGCTAGGAATAGCAATTTGCGCGAGTTGACGAGAAATCGGTCGAGAACCAACTCCTCCCTCGAGTGCGTACATTCTGGCCTCTATCACTATTTAGTATCTTGGCATTTGGCGAGAAGCGTGCGAGCGCGGATAAGTATATATCGCTCGGTTTCGCTGGGGAGTAGAGCTTCTCCCGCTCTGCTCTTCTCTCTCTCTCTCTCTTCCTCTCTTCACGAGAATGGTACTCTCACGAAAAGCGCGAGAACGAGGAGAAGACGCTTTTAGACCGCGCGCCCGGCCGGCGGTTTAGTCGTGGCGCGCGCTCAAAGCGCCCAAAATCACGTGCCTCCGCTCATTTCCCTTCTCTTCTCTCGCGAAAGAGGGAACCGCCACGCTGAAAAGTTAATCTCCTTCTCTCTCTCCCTCTCTCTCTCTCTCTCTCTCTCTCTCTCTCTCGCGAGTGATGTACGCAAGCCTCGTGCTCCGAGTGACAGTTGTCTTGGAAAGTGCAGTGGAATTGTCTCAAAGTGATGGTCGACTTTTAGCTGCGAAAGAGCTCGAGTTGGCGCGCGAGAAGACCCAGCAGCCTCTGCCGCCGCGGTTGCTTTAATGCCAAAGCACGAGTCGGTGGAGCAATCATGTGTCCGGGTATTCGCTGAGCCTGGGATGTGCAGCATCGAACAAGGCGAGCGTTCGTCGTCGCGTGTGCAGGTCGTGCTGGCAAGAGTGTTAGACCGGCAGCGTTGTCGTCGTCGTCGTCGTCGTCGTGGTCGTCGTGGTCGTCGTCGTCGTCGTTGTCGTCGTCGTGGCCGTCGTCGTCGCCATCCGAGTCCACCCCAGGCGGCCGAGCGGCCAACAACTCGTGGAAAGTGCCGCGCGTGGCAAGAAGGGATTATCGGGAGGCGTCGGCCGCGATGGCGGACCATCAGCAGCGAGTCGGCGGCCCGGGCAGCAGCAGGCGCAGGTCGCGCCGGGACAGCCTGGACTCGCCGGGCCACGCGGCCTCGGGCTCGCCTCGCACGCCGCCCGGCTCGAAGGATCGGCGCACGAGCCGCAAGCTCCTCACCGGCAAGCCCATCAAGGAGCGCTGGCTGCTCACGCGCAAGACGTGGCGCTACATGGCCGACGCCGGACGCCACCTGCTGCCCGACTCCGGCCACAATCGGCCCGAGGACATCCCCAAGATCGAGCAGTACTTCCAGGACGTGTGCTCCTGCGAGCCGAGATTCTTGCTGTGGCGCAAGACCTCGTATCCGGGCAGCTTGAGCTTCCGCTCGGCGCGCAGGCGGCGTACGCGTCAAGTGGGCGGCAGCTGTCGGGCCAAGCCGACCTGCTCGGCCGACGAAGCCGACGAGCAGCGGTCGTCGCGATCGCGTGGCTCGAATTCTAGTATTGGGTTACCGTCCAGTCCGCTACTGGCGTCCGGCGGCCGCGGCGGTGGCGGCAGCAAGCTCGATTTAGCCAAGGTCAAGCGCGAGTGGCTGCTGTCGTCGTCGTCGCAGCCACCGCCAGCCGCCATCGCGTCTGCTGTCGGCTGCGGCGGTGGCGACAATAGCGGCAGCAGTCCGGCTTCGCCCGTTCGCGCGGCGAATGATGCCGAGGCCAAGGCGCTCGCGGACATGCTCCAGAAGTACCTGAACTTGCAGCCCTCGGAACTGCAGTCGAGCGGCGCCGCCACCACTAGCAAGACTACCAGCAGGTCCGTCTCGTTGAGCACCGACCAATCGACCTGCAGCGCCTTCAAGGATTCCGCGACCAGGACAGCCAACCTAAACAGCAGTGGCTTGGATTACCAGCAGTTGATAGAGAAGCTGGAACAACACTTGAATCAGATAATGGCCGAAGGCAGGCGAGATTTCACGACGTCGAGGAGTGCGATGAGCAGCAGTGCGAGTGCGGGTGGTGCTATTTCGGCGGGCGTGCAATGTGGTAGTGGCACGGTTCCCAAGATTTCCATACCCTACCAGAGTGACTTTGTGCACAAATCCTTGTTGGACACTTTGAGTCGTTACTACAGCAAGTCACCCAACAGGCAACACGTCATCTCGGACATTCTCACCGACAGAAAACTCTTGGAGAAGTTGTACTTCGACCTGAGGTGCACTCGAGGCTTTCGCGGTCCTCGCGCCACCGGAGCGTACACGTCGCCGTCGAGATGGTTCAATCAACCGAGAACCGAAAGGTTTCAGCCGAAGAACCAGTCCCCTGGCTATAAGAGGGATTCCGGATCGATCCCACCGTTGATTGCCGTTCAAGGTCCCAGTACCGAGCGCGGTCCTGTGGACTCGGGCGTACAAACGAATCCCGTGCCCAGGGAGACCTTGGAAGCGCTGCTCCTGGAGAGGGACAAAGACGAGCAGTCGTCTCCGCCACTTAGCGGCAAGGACCACAAGTCCGGCAGGAGACGAAGCAGCGTGGATAACGACGACGTCTCGCCGTCGGTCAGCGATACTATAAAGAGGTACTTGCGCATGGCCAGAAAGAAATCCGTCGATTCCGAGAAAGCCGACAGATTCAAGCGCGTCAACTACGACCGCAATCTACGGAACATCAAAGCCAAGGGCGAGATCAGCAAGCCCGGCGACGACGACGGCAACAACAAAGGCTGCCAGACCGAAGACAACTGGATGGTTGGTTATCGAGAGATGAGCAGCTTGGAACCCGGTGAAGCTATTTCCGACGCGGAAACCACGGCCTCGCCGATCAGTCGGAACGCAAGTTCTAGGAGCAGCATCGACGCGGGACTTGGCAGCGAAGAGCCCTCGACACCCAAGCATCATCAATCCTTCCTATCCCATCTCCTTCACGGGTCCTCGCATGGTAAACCTCACTCGGCACCTGGCTCGCCAGCTCTAACCAATAACCTGAATAACGCAGGTGGCAACGCGATGCAGAAGAGCAAGTCCTCGAGTAGCGTGGTGCATCACAGCAGTCGTCTTGTCGCTAAAAAGATCTTCAAGTCCAGGAGCAAGAGCTCGTCGAGGGCTATCAATCTCGTGTCGCAGTGGACGCCACAGGTGAGTACGTTTTTTCAGCAAACATCCACGTCTTTCGCCAGCCCTTTAACGAGCTTGCGCTAGCCTTCCTCGGCACCGGTGCCGAGCGTCGATGATCTTTGTGTCACGGAAATAAGTAGCTTCCACGATTTCTCGACTTCGCGAAGCTCGGAATTTCATTTAGATGGAACTTCCCGAAATACACGCTTGACCAGCGGTCGATGACTGACGTGGCGAAAACGAAAAGCGAAACCCCTTGTCGTTTGCAGCCCATTCATCGGGAGAGAGTTGCAGCCGCGTCCACGCGGAATGCATCGCTCGCAGCTTGTTTACGCTTATTAATGGACTTTGAACTCGCGGCGCGCTGCAATCGTTGCCGGTGCTTGCGCCGAGGGTGTCCGCGAGCGAGACTGGAGCGGGGAGAAGGGAAATCCAAAAAATCCAAGCGAACGCGCATTGCGTCTATTCATAGCCGGTGCCGATTTATAAAAAAAGACGGGCGAGCGAGCGGCGCTATAGGACGACTTTGACGAACACTTCGCGGTGCGCACGAGCGAGCTAGAGCGCTGCTATTATTTATAATCCCACCTCGGGCCGTTCGTCCGAGCGCCGAACGCCGAGCGCGAGATCTCGGGGATAAGCAACGATCGCGCGGAAAATTAAGCCAGGCCAATTAGCCGATGCGCGCTTTATTTTGGCGGAGCGGCGCGCCAGAGCAGCGCCGTCGATTTGTAATCCCGGCGGCTTCGCGGACGTGGCCGATGCCGCTTCTCTCGCCTCTTCTTCCATCGCCTCACTGGGTCGCCTACGATCGCAGTCGTAAACCGCCGGCGCCTACTTCACGCCTGGAGTGTGTTATTATGAAATTGCTATCTGTTGTTACTCCCATTGACGTAGGATACTTCTTCTTTTCGATTCTAAACTTTATTTTCTTCTCCGTTTCGTTTTGGCTGTTCCCGCTGAACGTTCTAGCTCCACAATAATTTTAGGCAGCCAGTGCTACAAGTGCTTGTTTGACAACTGTCTTTGAAGCTCTCTCAAAATTTAGGTTTACTGCCAGCCGATTGGAAATACTCCAAAAAAACGTTGAGCGCCAGCGACAGAATCGGGCTAAAAGAAAGAAACCTGCTCTCGAGCAAGATTATTTTTTTCATTTCCTAAATATAGGCTGTAATAGAAAAGAATAGAAATCCTTGTGAGACGCTTATACTTGTCATTTTTAATAAGCTCCATTCGATTTCACGTGTCGTTCAAACGAAGCATTTCACGTTTCAATGTCCTCGATATCAACCGTTGCTGTTGATAATGTTTCTTCGTCTTGCTAAAGGTCAAATATTATCCCATTCGGTGTTTCCAAGTTATTCGAGTCTTTTAAGCGACGAAAGAAAAATTACGAGAATCCGCTCCATAATTCACGTACACTTGAAACGCACGTGTCTTTTGGCAAGAATCAACGCTGCTATTTAATCCCACGCAAAGACAAAGTGGTTTCAATCTCATCCTCACGCCAATACAATTCCTATTCATGGCCGGCACAAGGTAAACTTGGTGTGGAGGGAAAAGGGCGACCTTGCCGTGCGCGCGCGCGGTCGAGAGAAAGAGAATGTAAACTAGCGAAGAAGATGCCGGTTAAAGCGGAACACGCTCAACCAATTTAGGGCCTCGGGAATTTCGCTGGTTAAAAATAGCTTGCGTACCGACGTCGTCGGTTCTTTTTCTTTTTTTCTCTTCCAGTGCTGCTGCTGTTGCTGCTGCTGCTGCTGCTGCTGCTGCTGCTGCTGCTGCTGCTGCTGCTACTGTTGCTGTTACTGCTGCTGCTGCTGCTGCTCTCCATTAGCACTTGCTTTTCAGTAAAATATTATTCCAAGGACTCAGATTATCGACGTTTCTTTAATACTTTCTTTTCTTATTTCACCCATGAATTCGAATTTGCGAGTTTGGATTCACAGCTACATTTCTTCGTTTCTCTCGAGTCCCTTTAATAGGAAAATTAATAATTCGGTTATAATAAAAATTGGTAATGATGCAGGCGGTTGGTTTTCTCTTAGCTAAAGCTTCAATTGAGTTTCGAATCCGATTAATGGTGGAAATAAAAGTCCATAACGACGATATGTCTCGTCGTCGAAGCTTTTCCGCTCTATTCAAGTCTGTTCATACGCGATAGCATCTTTTCTTACCGCTCTGCACTGACTTTTTTAATCTGCCAACGGATGGCATTAAAGCATTGTTATGACGCAATCGTCTCTCGCGCACAAAAGAAGCCTGAAGTGACCGCCCATCCGAAGGGTAATTAAACGCTCGCTCAGCTTGATTCAAGTTTTCTCGAAAGCAGCATCGGAAAATCCGTTAGCACTCTCGAATACTCTTTTGTAAGGACATTACGCTGGGCGTTATTTATGAAAGCGCATCGAATAAGAAAGAGGAAAGGGAAGCTCGAGCTTTCAAGTAAAATAATCTTGTGAAAGCATTGTAAAGATAAAACTGCGCGACGCAGGCGTCTTATTTAGACACCTCGCAAGCATCAGCTTCGAGAGCAGCTGGGATTTCAACAAGCGACCAGCACCAGCAGTTTTTGCTCGCTTAAAAAAACAGGCATTCCTTCGAAAAGCAGTCGCGCGTCGTACTGACGGAGTAAAATATTGTTTTCATGGTAATGTGCGTTAGCTCGATTATTTGCTAAATAGGATTTAGTGCGCAAGCTTTGCATCGATAAACAAGACTTTCAATCGAGCGCATCGAATGCGCACGTGTATCGCGTAAATCAAGCGAGCCATGGCGATCAGAGGCGCAAAAGCTTGTATTATACTAATCCGCCTACGCGTACGCGCTTACGCATGTAGCTGGATATATATCGATATATCGATTTTGCAGTGTGAACTTTTTTAAACGAAATACGAACGCGACCGCGAGTCAATTGTACAACTCGGTGCTCGTAAACATCATCAGGTTTCGATCGTAAAGTCAGGAAAGAAACATGCGCCCGCGCTCGTACAAACGACAAAGTTGCCTCCGGCACTTATAACAATTACGGACGCCGCAGATCGGTCGAGCTGCATTCCGATTGTGGCGCGTCTCGCCTCGCGCGCAGTTCCACGGGCGTACGTACAGGCGTTGTGAAACTCCCAGTGGAACCCTCGATGATGCCCATTCGCGAAACTTGCGTCGCGCCAACTGCGAGTCGAAAGTTGCATCGCGTAAAACGTGCACTGTGTGCGTGGATTTTCGCAGGGCAAGTGCACGTGGGCGGGCACGAGTGGCCGTCGGGTGACGTTACAGGACACGGCGTTACGTCAACTGTCCGATGTCGAGCGCAAGGTGCTGTGCCGCGTCTCCGTGGCGAAACTTCAGGCGCTCAATCTTGGCGTACACATCAGGCCGCCCAGCGGTAAGTGACCTTTTTCTGTTTTAGTGCCTTCCGGAACTGCTGTCGAATTGCAATAAATCGACAAGGAAGTTAACGAGCAGCACTTCGACGCGGTGCGCTATAAGTGGCGAGTTTTGCATTCGACTATTCCACTAGTTGAATCATCCACCGACGCCTTCGTATTACCACGAAACGATAGCTAGTGAATCTTCGATGTTTCCACCGATTCATTGCAAGCTTTTCTCGTCTACTTCGCGCCGATCTATTGACAATCGATTGCCCGTATAGTCGCATCACTTCTTTATTCGCGTCTTTACTCGTCGAGCTTCTAACACTTTCATTCACTGGATTTTCGTGGAGTTCCTAGCCGGCACGTCCAACTCGCACACAAACTGTTTTCCGTGCGTCTATTATCAAGCTCAGCTTTGCCTGTGGCCACTTTCGAAGAATGCGGTTTGATTCGTTTCGAAAGACAAAAATAATCCGGAAATGCAGAGTGGCTCGTATTCTGAAAAAATTCTCAGCGGCAACGCAGCGCCACACAACGAAGATATTTTTAAAAAATCACTAGGAGGTTCTCGTTAAATTTCGAATATTAAATGACCTCAACGAAAAACGGACAAATTAGCCCGTAAAGCCCTCTCGCGAAAAAAATAATTGAATCGTGAAAATACATTAATACCTCGAAGAAACAAGAAGAAGAACAATAAATGGATAAATCAAGTGGTGCGCTTGTTATTTCGAAGAAGAACTCGCGAGGTTTAACGCACGCACAAGCGATAAAAGTGGGTCAAGTTTCGCGTTTACGTAGGTAGGTGTCCCTCGGTCTTTTTATTATCGCGCGCGCACCTTTTTGATCTCTGTTTCGTTTATTTGCGGAATTCGGGTTTATTGTTGACGTTGATTTAGCGAAGGGTACGTGAAATGTCTTTGCTGTTTGTTTTCGCAAAATGCTCATTTCCACGCGCTTTTTGTAGAGTCGCTGTCGGGTGGCTCGGTCACTGCGAAACCAAAGAGGAGAGCTTATCTGCTCAAGAGGAAGGCCCTTACTACGGGATTTTTCGATAGCAAAAGCAAGGATGAGAAGGAGAAAGGTGAGTTTTTATTAATTTATTATTGTCGGAGTGTGTTTGGTATTCACAGTTTGTTCGCTTCATTCAGGCTTCAAAAGAAAATTTAGTAGAATGTAAAAAGCACCAGAAAGAAACCTAACGCTACGCTACACTTCGATCGAGTAAAACGAGAATTCTTATAGGTTCTCTCTCTTTCACCAGAGAGACTTTTTGAAAGTTTTAATGAAGTGAAGTAGGGCGCTTGCGATTTATTTTTACTTCTAAACAAAACTCTGGAGAAATAAAGGCAGACTAGATATGAAGTTCTCTTCTCTCGAGAAAAAAAGTGAAGAAGAAGAAGAAGAAGAAGAAGAAGTGTTGAGCTGCATTTACGAGAGTGCGTGATCGGCTTGACGACGAGCGTCTGGCAGTATACTGTCTTTTACTACTTGTCGCGGATGATCCTGTAGAAATTGTCCTTGAGACGATACTTTTTTTCGAGATCGAAATTGTTCAGCAAAGCGACTTTTGAGTTATTGAAGCTTGGACGTATGTCGTTTTAGTTGATGAATTTTTTTCTATACGAATTCTCTTTCTTGTAATGACCATTAGGGTGACGACTAATTTTTTAATGTGCAGTAGTATTAGTCGTAACATAAGCAGTGAAAAGAAAGATTGACGGGAAGTATTTTTATCCATTTAATTCATTTATTCGAATTAGTTAACTATTACAAACGAATCGGTTTTCTTTGAAACGACAAAAATGAAAACATAATGGTTTGACGATGTCTGTACAATAACAATTAATAATTAGGAGGCGTTGAAGGGGCTGCAACAACAAGCCCAAATCGACTTGCGAGCGTTATCGAACTACCTCTCTCAGTCTCCAAGCCTCCTAAACCACAAAGCATGGTTTTGATGCTGTAGCCCCTCCCTTCTTCCTCGTTGTGGTTTCCGATTTAAGCTGACAATCAATTTGCTGTGCTTCATGCGCAGACGAAACTCCGTCTCTTGCCTACGATTCACTCGCACCTGCGTCGAGCACGCGTCACTTTTATCTCCCTGCTCGGAGTATTTTTAAACTTGGACCTTCTATGACTCACGTGGCAAGTATTCGGTAAGACGTCTGTTGTCGTGCATTATGGGTTTCGATAGATTTATTTAAAAGTTATGAAGTTGTCGAGGTTCACGTGTTCACGATAAATATAAACGAGGATTCGATGCGGTCTTTTTGATGTATCTCGAAAGAATTTCTTAGTCGATACTCCGAGCACGTAGCTTTCGAGTGATGGAAGATTGGTTGATTATTTAATTGAATTATCGTGCTGCTTAGTTAAAGCTTCCTCACCTCAATAGAAAAACCGAACCGTATATGCAGGTGTCGTTTGCACTCAAAACGGCAAATTGCACCTGGGTTAAAGCAATGGCCAGGGCAGTGCGTGCGCGCGCGGGCGAATACGATTACCGAAGCCGAGCTGTTATAATCAGCCCGGAGGGCTCTGCTTTTGCGGCTATCGAGGTGAGAGGAGGGATATTGGATTTCGCGCAGCCGGATTGCGCGATCACTTATCGCCGCCCGTCGACTTCCCGGTGCGCCGTCCTAAATTGTGAACTTTGTGGGGCCAATTTTCGGACGTGGGCCGTACGTACGCGCGCTCAGAGAAGACGCCTGTTCATTACTGCCCTCGGCGCGTTTGGCGATAAGCGCGCACTTCCGCGCGAATTTTCGGGCTCCCGGAAGTGCATAAATCGCCGCGAGAGTGGATGCGATTACGCGAGTGTAAATACATTGCTTCGCGGAATAACCTAGCTCTCCGATGCCGCGCGAGTCTTGTTCCAAGAAGCACAATTGTCCCATCGGAATAATATCGCGATCAATCTATCCGCCTCGTGCTCCGACTAAGATATTCGCGGCTTTGCTGATTCACTGTCGGCGCGCGCGTAATTGAAAACTTATAAATAGGTTTTTGGGGAGACAGCCGACGCACTTGATTAATCGCGAGCGAGGGAAAGACGCGTACGCGCGCTTGCATAACGTTGGAGGTACTCGTGGGGACCAAATCGAATATTAGCCGAGCCTGCTTGAGCTTCGCTTTCGGAACGAGGATGTTTTCGAAGGGATTGCCTATTGCAGAAACTATTGGCCGAGACTGAGATAAATTATCGCCATTATTTATCACATTACTGTCAGCGCTAAATATGTTCTGGCATCATTGGCTATCTCGAAAGAGAAGTGCATTGCTTTCGCTGTGAACGAAAACGATTTTTGATCAACGAAACAACGCTCCACTAATAATACTGCTTATTTGCGCTACTTGTTCTGGCCGTAGGTCATATATTTATTAATCCCACGCGATCGAGAAGAAAATCATTATTTCTCATCAATTTTCAAGCTTCCGTTAATAATTTGTACAGTTTTTACAAAAGAAAAATCCAATGCATTGCGAATCGCTCGTGCCAACGTGACGTCGCGCGGCGAATGCGAGATTTTCGATAAAACAGCACGTCGTTAAATTTGAACAGTCGTTTTCCAACAGTGCCTCGTCGGCATCGTACGATTTGAATTTCTCGCGTCAGCCTCCTTCGCGCGAGCCACGCATACTCAATAGGACGAGCTTCGTCCACTGTCGGCAATAAGTGCGACTCGAGCTGCGCCCGCGTAACTGCAAAAGTGGCCAAATTCTCATGTTCAGCCACTCGACAAGGAAAATCTCGCTTTTTCCCGGTCGTCTGCCCACCAGCGCGTCTCGGCCGAGATCCCAATTTTTCTCGCTCGAGCTTACGCCGCATACTTACAGCCATGCTGAGCTTTATTTCAGAAGTTCGATAGTCGTAGGGATGAGGGAACCCAATACTATATTTTCGTTTCTTATATTTTTTCTTCTCCCCGTGGAGCTCGAGAGGAATGCTCTTTATTACCTGGTCGCGGATAAAATTAAGGCACTGTTGCGAAGAATTTTCGCAATTCATTCTAGTAAATTACGGAGAAAGTATGTAAGAAAACAAGCTGATTAACCAGAACACTTGTGTGCATTGGGTTATTGTTTAGAATCGAGCAGTGGCCTGGTATTTGGTATTTCGATGGCGCAGTGTTTGGAAAACGACCGTCTCGCACGGATAGCTTCGGGCGAGATCGTCGACGTTGGCTGCAGCCTGAGTCGCAGTAGCCATCATGGAAGTCGAACCAGCTTTACAAGCCTCATCGAGACTACAACAGCTTCCAAGACCGATGAGGTAATATTGATATATGATTAATACTTTTTTGATCCGCAAAATGGAGGAATTGTGAATACGATAGCTTCGCGTACAGTGTATTAGAGCAGAGGCACGTATAGTTAAAATGTACTCGATGAAAATCGTAATAATGACAACTTCGAAAGATTGCAAAATACCATTGCGAAAAAAGCGAAAGGCACGCAGTCGGCGCAAAACAACAAAACAATGGTGCCACCCTCTCGCCAAATTCTCTTAGCTAAAGACCATTTAGCCGTGAAAGTCATCGTTGGCGTAGGCGCCTCTTTCGTCACGCAAGCGCAGCAACGCGCGTCACTAAAAGTCCAAAAGCCCAGTGTCATCGGTGACGACGTAGACCGCCTCTTTCGGCCCACGTACACCCACGCATCTTTTCGCTTTTATAAATAAATGTTCGGCGAGCTCGAGCTCCTCCTTCTACCACCTCTATCGCTCGTTGCCACCACTTTTGCGCGAATACTCTTTCCAAAATCGCCAAGACTTTCTACTGGTCGTGGTAACATCGTTCCTTCTCTTATCTCAATTTGAACTGACGCAACCGAAATGGTGGCTGGATTGAAAAATATAATCTTCATAATTCAACGTTCCTTCGCCGCGCACACAATCGCCACGCCTTTCCGAACAAAGTTCAATACATTCGATTCCCGGTAGTGTTTGTTCTCTCCACTTCGATTTCTCGTGGAGCTATACGTAGCAAGAAACTAATCCAAAATGACAATGAACAGACGAGAGAGCTTACTCGGGTAAAATTTGCCTCGGGACGCAATTCGAAATTAAAAACTACGGCGACCCGTCGATGCTCGAGATTGCGTCCGACCGACGTTGCCACTTTGCAATTGTAAATAATACTCTCGGCAATGAGTCTATCATCATAATATTAAAGTTGTCGTTCGAGAAATTGCAAGCACTTCTTGCAGTTGGAGCTCGTCATTTTGTCCTTTCCATTCGGATCCTCCGAGAAGGAAAATCGCGTGCGTCTAGTCACGTATACCTTGACGCTTCAGCAGGTATACGTATGTGTGTGTGTTTGTGTGTGTGTGGTGTATGTGTATATAGCGTTTATTGTTGCTAGTAATAGGGCTTTCCTAAGTGATGTTTTTATCGGGATATCGAGTGGCAAGGGTAAATAGATTCTTACCGTGGGGGGAGAACCATAAGAAATATATTATTTTTCTATAAATAGCTTCCTTCGTCCATTTAATTAATGAAATAACGTAATTTTTTTCTTGAAAGTAGCTTGCCGAGAAGGGCGCTGGGTCAGCTCTTCAGCTACTTTAGAAAGACCGTAGAAAATGTTAGGTAACGTTGAAATTCATCTCGTCGTGAAATTTACGATATCCTTGTGGATTCTTCGACGTGCACGGGAAAGATAACGACAGCATCACTCACATACCATTGACGGGCATACAAGAAAAAATCGAAAACTGTCAAGTTGAGCGCGAAATTGCCAGATTCCACAACTTTTTTTTTCGTTCACGCGTAAGGGTTCACGTCACAAACTACTACTGGCTCTCAGTGAAATTGTCCTACTATTGGATTCTCTCTCAGGCGATTTAATAGAGTGGATTGAAGTGAATCCGTAAGAGTTTCAAATGGTAACGTCGAGATGTAAAGTGAAACTAGGCGTGATTAGCTTAATTGAAAATTTTTTATGCTTGCCTCCTCCGCTTGGTTGGAAGTTTCGCGAGAACGTAGCGCGATGGTGAAAAAGGGACGAAGATTGCTTGGAGCGAAAATTCAATGAATTGTATAATTTCATCGTCAAGTTGAGAAAATTAGCGGTGAGAAATAGCGTTACGGATGTGGAAGTATCGCCAGACAAATATTTGCACTTGCAGTGGAATCGATCGTTTTTGGTCAGACGCGTGCAGCTTTAGAGCGAAAGTATGGCTTGTCCAACTACGAAACGAAAACTCTTGCGATCAGTTGGCAAGCATCCTCGAAAGCAAGGTGCGAGATGCTTCGTTTAGCGCCAAAGCGCAATAACTCGCTACATTGCTCGAGAAATTGTCGGTCGATCTACGCAGCCGTCCTACGCAAACTTTGCCGTTCTTACGGGCGTCGCCTCGTTCGGAAAGCGTGCATCGACGAAATATCGTTGGCACACGAGTCATAAACGATGACGCGAAAGAAAGCTGCCACTCCTTGTCGCTGGGCTACGTCACTGCTCTTGCTTTGGCGGCGTCATGCGCGGCGTCGTGTTGCCGCGGACGGCCGAGTGGAAGATATCCGAGCGAGCTCGGAGCTGGAGTTAAGATGGAGCGTGCGCGCACAATTTTGCATTCGCGAGACTCGACCTAACGAGCGCGCACTCGAGAGAATGAGCCTTCGACGAGCACGCGACGTGCTGTATCATTCGTCTCAGTTGCTCTCGCTAGACTGATATCACACTGAAATGCTACGACAGCTGCATGCGACAGCTCATGCGATCGCGATGAATATTAATGATCGAGAAGTTGAATCCGTCTGATGAGAAATGACAATTAAAATCTCAAAATACTAAATTTAATGAGAAGCGAATCGATAATATTCTAATAAGTTAGTCTAATAGGAAATCGAAAAGATATCGAAAAGGGTAATCAATCGGATATGGCGGCAAGGTGCGAAACGTATCGAACGCGTGGTCAGCGTAACAATTACGAATCTATCGCGTTGACGGTGCTCGAAGCCAAGCCAGGACGGTCCTCAAAAGGCAATAGCGATCAATCGATCTCCTTTTGCAGGCAGGCTCGTGCGAGTCGTTATCCTCGAAAGGGGGCGCGCTCACGGGCAGCGACTCGGGCGTGCTGGAACTAAGCGACAGCGGTGGCACGTCCGAGTACGACGCAGTCCCGTCGATCGTGAGGCAATGCATCAAGCACCTGGAAGCCACTGGTCTGCACACTCTTGGCATCTTCCGGGTGTCGCCCTCGAAGAAGCGCGTCAGGCAGGTAAGAGACATCGCTCAGGCCGAGCTCCCCCAGGACGCGCCAATAAACGCACGAGGTAATTGTTGCGCACGCAGCTGCGGGAGGACTGGGACTGCGGCCGGGAGAACAGAATAGGCCCGGACCAGTGTCCGCACGACGTGGCGGCCCTGCTCAAGGAGTACTTCCGCGATCTGCCCGACCCCCTGCTCTGTCGCGACCTCTATCAAGCCTTCGTCCACACCCAGAGTGAGTATGGGCGGGAAGGGCAAGGAACTCGGTCGCTTCCCGCGGTCGACAATGCAGACGCGCACGGGGCAGGACCGCGTCTGACCTCGGCTCTGACCTCGGCTCTGACCTCGGCTCGTTCGCAGAGATACGCAACAGGCGCCTGCAGCAGGAGGCACTGCAGCACCTCATACAGCTGCTGCCGACGCCCAACCGCGAGACGCTCTACGCGCTGCTGAATTTCCTGAGCGAGGTGGCGAGCCACAGCGAGGACCGCCGGGACGAGGGCGGCCAGTTGCTAGCCGGCAACAAGATGGACACGACCAATCTGGCCACCGTGAGTATGGAAACAGGCCGACGACGCAGTCGAGCCCCGCTGATGTGGCCGTTCGCGTGTGTTACCAAGGTCTTCGCGCCGAACATCTTGCACTGCGTGAAGCCGGGCCAAGCGCGCTCGGAAGTGTCGGCCGAGCGCGCCGAGGAGAGGATCGACGTCATCAACGTGGTGCGCGCCCTCCTCGAGCACGTGTCCACGCTGTTCGTCGTGCCGGCCGCCCTGCTCGACGAGCTCTACCTGCACATGATGGACAGTCACCCGGCCGAACTGGACCTCGCGCTGTCGCGCAGAGCCGACGAGTGAGTTGCCTCGCCGACCACCCTCCGAGCGCCTCCTCACTTCCCTTTCTCTGCCATCCCTCTCGGCAGGCAATGTCCCGACGAGGCGGACCTCTGCAGCGAGACGGAGAACTGCTCGGCCGAGGAGAGCCTGTCGCCCACGTCGACCGGCTCGCCGGTCGCCCTCGCGGCCGCCGCGAGCTCGGGCGCGAGTCCGAGCGCGAGCCCGAGCGCGGCGCCGCCGGCGCAGCAGGCCAAGCGGCTGTACACGCGCGAGGAGTGTCTGCACCAGTCGGCGGGCGTGGGCGGCGACATCGGGCCGCGGCCGCGGCGCCCGAAGCGGCCGACCGCGCGCAGGAAGGACTCCGAGTCGACGCGCAGCAACAGCATCGACAGCGGCTCGAGCGAAGACCCGAGCGATCCGTCCAGAAAGTCGTCGCAGGTGCAGATCATCACCGCCAGTCTGACGATACCCATGTCCGGCGCGTTCACGCTGAACCTCGACGACCCGGACATTCCGTACATCGAGGACTCGTCCGCCGCGCACGCCAAGCAGCAAGTGCAGGCCTCGCCCAACGCGCCGCCGCGGAGGCAGAGGCAGCGTTCGGTCTCTGGCAGCGAAGGTGAGCATCGCTGGCTGCGCGCTCGCACTGCCGCGGGCAGCCGCTCAACCGGTGCGTTCGTTGCACAGGTGGTGGAGGCCGCCACGGCAGCGATAGCGCGGTGGGTTCTTCCGCGACCTTGTCCGGCGACCAGGCGCCGAGCTCGCCACCCTCGTGGACGTCGTCGCCACCCGCCAGTCCCGACAGCACTGTCACGGCTGTTTCGTATATTCCCGATCAATCGCCGCCTCAGCAGCAGCAGCAGCAGCAGCAGCAGCAGCAGCAGCAGCAGCAGCCGGTGCTGCAGAGGGTGTCGTTCACCACGTCGAGCGAGCTCCGGCAGATCAGCAGATCGACCAGTCAGGAGCAAGCGCAACACGCCAGTCGGTTGCCCGCTTCCACGCCGAGCATCACTAGCATCGGTGGCGCTGTGATGAGGTGAGTTTCTCGGCACAGTCGAGCGTCGTCGACACAATGCACCGTGGCCCCTGTCGATTGTGCAGGTCCAAGACGGCAGACATCGAGCGAATGCTACACATCAACCGGGCGGACCAATCGAGCCGGGCAGCGCCGTCGTTAACCACAACGACGTCGGGCTCGTCGCTACTCGACAGTAAGAAATACACGAAGCGGCGCTACACCGACTCGAGGCATCAGACGCGTCATATTCCCGACTCGGACAGCCTTGGCGTGTCCGGCGCGTCCGCGACTTCGTCGTCGCTGGCGGCGAGGATCGGCTCGGCATTACAATCCAAAGCGCCGGCTTCGAGCGCGGCGTCCTCGACGGCTACGCAGCCAGTATGGAAGCGGCGCGAGTTAATCTCGAGCGCGCCCAAGCACAGAGGCAGCTTCTTTTGACTTGCCTCTGCTCCTTTTGTACATAAAAATGTATCTACGTTGTGTTCTCTCGCGGTAGAGTTGGCTTTTTGTACGGAAAATTTTCTACGACACTTCTAATGCGCGGTTTCGGGGAGATGGGGAGGGGATGGTGGGTGGGTGGGATGTGGACGCAGTACTGTTGCAGTTCCTATGAAAAAACAAACAAACTTATATTTATTTTATTTATTATAGAAAGCCGAGTTTCTGAGAAGTCTTCTCTTGCTCTTCCTGGCTGAAGAGGCGATTACGAAGATTATTTAGGGGTTGTATAAATGTACATTGGTCGACGCGCTTTCTTCTCTATCTTTAGTACACTAAAAATGAAAATGTGAATCCGCAACGATACGAGTTCTCACCTCATCATCTTTTTTTCGTTTCAGACTTTTATTACCTTGTAAGCAACTACGGACGTTTATTAATTGTTAATAAAATTTATTTTATAATACCTCGCTCGTCGTATCAAGCTTATTGACCCCGACAAATCCATCTCGCTGACGATTGTTTGCTGTATATTACGATATACGTATTCACGCATACATGCATGTGTATGTGTGTGCGTATGAAGCTTGCTGAAAGCGAAGTGGAATTTAAGGGACAAGTAGAAATCGCTGTACAATCTGTTTAATCATGTTTTTTATTGCAGCCTCTGCCGACGAGTCTGTCGACGCAAAAGTTGCTACACATCTTTTAGAAAACAATTGCCGCTTACATTGTTTTTTCGACTAATTGATCCGTTATCATATTGATTTGTTCGTGTATGTACAAAGATTTAAGGTCACTCGGCAATCTCACTCCCACGCACTTTGGCGATGTTGATGTAAGGCATTATAAAAGTACACGTTTACCAAGCTCGAAACTTGCCAGGTAAGTGCTCAATGGTCAATGCGTTTAAATTGTAAACGCAACAGCAGCGTTAATAAGGTAAGAGCGAAACGCCTGACAAGCCAAGGCTTCGAATGCGGAACTGAAATGCAAATTATTTCCTCCGCGCGAGCTCCTTCTTCCCAATAAAAGTATTTCGGTTCCGTCGCAATATGTAACAATTTCAATTGTCGTTTGCTTGTTGGTTTTTCGTCAAGGCCGGCTGATAATATCCCTATAGCAAGCAATACTTTCCCCTTGTCGATGCCTAAACAAGGAAGATTAAAAGTAAGAAAATTAACGTATCCAGGTTAATAGTAAGACATAAAACTAAAAATATCGATTTGGACGGGTCATCGTGTAAGGGCCGAGGGACGACACCGCTGGTCGCTCGATTTCTCTTCTGGCGCTTTTTGTACCTACGCGCTTGCGCGCGATGCCTTTCTCCGGTTTCTCATCTTCGCTTACGATAAAAATGACTTTAAAAAAATATCCATTAAGAAGAATATAATGTTCGTGTCTGATATCCATATAATAATAATAATAATATCATCTACATATACATGTAATAAATATGTTCTGTGCTCGCGACCGCCCGAATGGCGGTTCACAAAGTAAAAGCTGCCGAGGAAGGGCTGGACGGATACGTTACTATCGTATCGGTGCTTAAATCTATAAGTATTTCGCTTTATCCACGCAAACTCACTCGTTTTCCCATTCTCATTGTTCGTATTCTATGGTTTTCATACCTTAAATCCCGTCTACGTTTGATGGTTTTGATTGAGTCGTATTTAATCATTCTTCAGTATCTCACTATCTAATATCATAATTGATTACAGCGATACATGGTTTATAGCTGAGCTACAAATACATTAGGCAATCTATTAACGTAAAAAATACAATAACATCCATATAACATTGTATTCGAGATGAAAAATTAATGTGCAACACGTTACTATCACAAAATATCAATAGTTTTTCATATACTCGTATATTTATAAGAGGATACGAGAAGTATATTAGAAGAATTCAACAAAGTTATTGTTTGTGCTAGATCGCGAAAGAAGAAAAATATTTAGGCCTTTATTTGGATTGTCAAGTTTTTGATAAAGACAGCAGGCACTTTATCTTCATTGCACAAAATTACTTAAATTTTGGACGGCATCTAATGTTACAATATAAGGTACATAAAACAATCTTTTAGAAAGATTCTTTGCGCAATGCTTAAAACTAGTAAAACGCTGACGATAAAGACTTTGTCGGTTTTTGCTGTTTAGTACAATATATACCTTGTAAATATAAAAAAAAAAATACGCGTGTAAAGTATAAAGTGTATATCGAAGCGATTTTTAATATCAACGAAACGACAGATCTACGTATCGACTATACAGAGATACTTTGCAAATAAATAACAAAGAAAAAAACTAGTTCTCGAAGACTTTTCGCACTTTCAGAGTGAGACTGCGATCGTTCGAATGAATCGGCGCCGCTTACTTTTCAAACGATTCGATGATTGCACGACATGAAACAATTGTGAGCAAAGAAAAGGGACAATGTCCAAACGAGAAGAAAAGTTACGCGCGACAATTCGAGTGGCAACCCAATCTCACCGTAAACATTCCCATAAAAGAAGAGGGAGAAGCACTGCTCGGCGACGGCCACAACCCTAAAAGCCCTACAGAGATTAAGCGTTGGCACGGGGTTAGCTCGGATCTAAACCTCGGTGCACAGGGTCGGGCCGTCCTCCCCGGGTCATACTTCCGTCGAGTGCGTTTGTATGCGGACCTTCTTCTGCGAGCCGTTCCGCTGCAACGTCGGGCTGTGCGTCGAGAATCCGGGATTCTGTATGCCGAGTGGCTTGGGCTTTTTCAGCGAGCTCCGCAGCGGCGACGCGGTACTTACCACGCTGCCCGATGTCGCCACGCTCGCCATCGAGCCGTTGCCCGAGGTACTGCCGTACGGTTTGCCACTCGCGTCGGTCATCGAGATGCTGCCGCCTGTCGACAGAAAGGCACTATTGTTTAGCGACCGAGCATTCCAATCGACGGGCGTCGTTCGTTGGGCACTGCCCAACGAAAATCTCATTCCCGCGCGACCTTGCGAACAAACACGCGTTGCGCAGTTAATAAACTTGCGTTAGGTGCGCGGTCGTGGCTTTACGACGAGGTGTTCGGTGTGCCGGTGCTGCCGAAACACGTGGCGCCTCGATGATAATCCGTCTGCGTGCACGTGCCGCCGTGTCTACCAGCACTCGTAACTGTTTTTTCCTTTGCCCTTTCCGTTAAGTCCAAGGTGGCTTGTTGTTTTATTGCCAGGAGGAGACGTGAGAAAAATTGTACATCTATTTGGCGTTAAAAAAACATTCCCCTAATATCATTTTATTGCTCGCGTTGCTTATTAGTTCGTGAAAAGGTATTGGCAATTCTAGAGCCTCGAATTCGTTTATCTTTACGAGCAGTGTCGAAGTCAGTCAATTTGTTTTGTGGTCTTCGTAAAATATACACTGGAGCGTCGAAAGCTCTCCACTCTCAAAACTACATAAAGCTCAGTATTGCACGAGTCCCTGAGTGCTGCACGGCAAGCCGGTGTTCATGCGAGCAGCTGAAATCAAAAGCGACACCGCGCTAGGGTGTGTGCCAGCAATTTGCTCCGAGCGGCCGCGATGCGCCTGCACGAATAGCCGCCCGCCTTGAGTATACGTTCTCATCGGGCCGTGTACGGCTTGCCGCCGTCAATTTCCCACAGCTGGAAGACCATTGCTTTCGATCATTCGAGGTAAGTGTGAGTTATTAAAAATCGCGCGGACCGCGAGATGAAGCACTTATTTGAGAATCGCCTCCGATGCAATCTTCCCCAATCAACTTAGAGCGTGGCCGCAGTCCGTGCGAATTCAATTTTCCAATTGAAAATCTCATCCGTCAGTCTAATCGATGGTAATCCGTTGTTGTTGTCGTTGCTCGGCCAACGCGCGGCGCGGTAAATAATTGGTAGCGCAGCGACGTCGTCGTCATTGACACGGTTGTCGGTAGCTGCGTGTCTTTACTACCGTCACGCCGCGATCACTGGAGCTGCTGATCAGTCGCGCGCGCACGCGAGCCAGACAGCTTGCCGATTGATACGCGCGTGCACGTTGCGCAACCGAAACAGATCGGTCGCACGCAACCGCTCAGCTACGAAGACTAAAAGCGTTAACTGAATATTCGGCTCGTCCACGCATAACGCGATTATTTTAAGCTAGGTTCAGTACATTTTTAGGTTTGCACTCTTCGTTGGCGCACACTTACCATTCGGATGCCGGGGATCCCGATAGCCAGGATTATTGAAGGTCGCGCCACGCGTGTCCGAGTAAGTCCTATTGAGCTTCGTTGGGTCGCCACCACGTCTCGCGTAGATACTTTCGTACACCGCCGAGACTAGCACGCCGAAGCTCAGGATTATCGATGCCACCTGCAATCAGGATACTTTCATTAGTCGCGATGATTTGTGCGCGTGGGCACCAATTTCACGCTACTGAGCAATTACGCCAAGAGAACGTCGATAAACCGAAGAGCAATTATTAATCGATAAGCCCAAATGGAATTCCGAGGAAAAGTCGGAAAATAAATGTGCAATGTGTTTCTCACGCGAAAGAAATTCGGCTCGATTGGCGTAGGTAAAGAAATGACAAAACCCAACCCGAACCCAACCCTTGTTAACCTTTGTTGACGCTAACTGATTCGTCGACCTCCTCGGTTATTACGTTCATTGGTAAATTTCTGAGCAGGTTAACGAATTGTCAGCGAGACGTCAACAAGCGTCTTGCTATTTCTTTACCTACGTCGACCGAGTCCAATGTTCTTCGTCAAATCTGGGTACGTCGCGCTCCCTCTTTTCTTTCATCCAGAGCAGCTTCCGCGCGAAACAAAGGACGGGTAATGCCTACGTGCTCCATGAAAATATCAAACGGAGAACTCCTGGCTGCGCTTGATTAGGATTTCGCCAAGGCTGTAGTTCTTTCTTTCTCTGCGCGGCGTGAAATTGAAAACGCGAGTCGCGGACTCGCGTTACCCGCACCGCGCACGCCCTGCCGCTGTACGAGCGCACGATGTTTCGTGTCAGGCGGCGAGATAAAGCGAGAAGCGAGAGCTAGGTCACAAGTCGTAAAGCTATTTTTCCTTCGACTTGCTTCGGCTCTGCGCGATAACCACCATGTTTGTTCGTCGTAAGCGCTGCGACTGAAACTTTGCCGACGACTTTGCATCGCAGAAACAATTATCGACGAAGCGTCGCAACACCTGCACGCCAAAGTCCAATGTGCGCATCCTGGAATTTCAATTGCGATACCAAAAATGGTGATCCACTGGCGCGCCATACCTTGGCTGGTCTTCGGAGCTTCCGCTCGCGATCGAGTTCGATCTCGTCTTTTGCCTGCAGCAATGCGCGCCGTCTCTTCGGCCTTGCCAAGCTTGAACTCATGGCGACGGGTTTGCAGATTTTTCAATAAACGCACAACATATCGACGAACGTACAGTGCAAACCGAGGCTCGATTAATACTGACCTACCGCACACATAGTTTTCCGCCCTCGACGTACGGTATGCCAATTATTGATTGACAGTCCTTACGTAAGATCGTCACGAGTGGACATTACAAATTGCAGAGTTGACGGTAATCGGATTGTTCGTTATTTGCACAGAGTGCTCGAAGCACAGAAAAATTTCTCTATTTCCACAATAACGACTAGATTTCATTTGATGTATTGAAATTATACTTATTGCACGCATTAAACCGCGAACGCACAATGAATGCACGATCGACGCACGTTACGACCGAACGCAACGGGAAGATCATCAAACGAGAGATCGAAGATCGGCAATAACCAACAACCTCGACACGAAAAAAGAATATCCCGATACTCTGCCCTCGAAAAACTCAAGTGTAATATCGCATCAATTGCTTTCGCGCGCGCTCGCTGCGCGAACTTGAGCGGTCGGAGAGCGACTGTCGTCGGCACCGCAGTACACTCATTGTTTTAAAAGTACTGCACACGCAGAGTCGTAGCTAGCAACCGGCACGCACCTGCAAAAATCGCCACGCGGCCTCCATCCGCGAGATTAGGCTTCCGGTTGTGCAACTCTCAAATTGGTTTCGTTGTCCCCTACGTGTCGTGGGTGTGGGTATCATCAGGAAGCAAACTGTTTCTTTCATTCTTTTTTCGGATGAATTTTGTTGTTGTTGCTGTTGTCGGTTCGCTAGTAAGTGGAATTGACTTTTCCGTCGTCGTTCTATCGTTACCCATTGCGACCTACGTTTCTTCCACGATTCACAGTGGAATCTTTTCTTTTTTGTTTTTGTGGAATTTATTCCATTTCCGTAATTATCCCTGCTTTACGTTATTCTGTTGAGTCCATTCAAACAGACGTCCTACGCGAAAGCACATGTTTACACGAAACTTTCCCTACTGAAATAAAACCAAGAGGCGCGCGCGCGCGAAGCTTTTACCTTGAAGTTGGAACGAAGGGCAAGTACGAAATTGACGCTCGTTTTCATTTGGAAGCACCAACGCACGACGAAGGCAAATAGAAAAAGAGAGAGAGAGAGAGCGTTGGTAAAATAGGCCATTGTACGCGTTAGAGGCTGGCCGTTAATTTTACCAAGTCACGTCAGTGGTCAAGTTATGTATGTGAGGTGCAGAGGCTCGAAAATGTGTCAAGCGTTTTGTCTCCGTTGTAATTGAGTGGCTTTAACGGATGAGCTTCATAAACAACTTTTTTTATGGTCTATCTTGCGCCATTGCTTCTTTCCTTCTTTCAAGCTTGGTTGGTTTCTGTCAATGAGCAGCCTGAGGCTGCTACATGCAACGACATTGTTGCCATTGTCGCGATTGATAATTAAATTCCAATCGTCCCAGAAAGAATAAAGACGCGACCAAAGAAACCAAATATTAAACTCGAGTAGGAAAGCATACGGTTGTTCTTTTCCACTTAATCTTTCCAGTCAAGACAAACACGTGAGTATGGTTTTAATTTACATATGCAGATTTCTACTTATCGGCGTGGGCAGCCGCTGTCTCTGTATCGGTAGCGATGATGTGACGAGCGTTTCTTTCTTTTTTTGTTTCTTGAGTCACGCGTGACGGGAATAATTACTACTTTAAATATCATTCTTCTTTACTGCTAGGCTTACACGTATAACTAATGTTTTGAAACACACGCTTGGATGAATAATTTTCGTTTTATGTATTATCGGTAGAAGCGCCTCTGGCCGTTTTCTTTGAGCGCGCTTCATGTACGTATATGTGCCAATCATTTTTGCTTATTCAACATCTACAGTATTGCTAATTCGTTATAAACATTTACATTTCTGTTCGATAGTATTTACATTCAAAAACCAACGATGGCATAAAATTCTCTTTATATTTTTTTTACTGTTTTAAAGGAAACCCGTGACCTTATAAATTATCGAGATGCATTTGTATGTTATCAGAAATATATTGTTATAAAAACGAAAAAATGCGGATACATAGTCTTACCTGCATGTAGAAGCCTTCGCCTCTCGTTACGATGAAACTATTATCTCGGTCGTCGGTTTGCATGGCGAAGAGGCTGGCCGCTACTACCGCCAAACAAGCTAGAACAAACGGAGGAAAGAAAGCACACGGGTTATTAACAAAGCTAGTTCTATCTTTAACGCGCATTAAAGCCATAACTCGCTTAGATCGAATTTTGCACTTAGTAGTGGCGATAAATTCAAGTTTGATTTATTCGGACGTTATGATTGTCGTGCGATGAATACCGTCGTTACACAATTTCAGTAATATGTGCGATTTATATCCTCCTTCGGGAGCTGTTATTGAAAATCAACGATAATAATGGAATCGCGTTTCTACGCAAAGTGGGCGTTTACAGGCGCACCGGGTAACCGCGCGACATCGCAAAGCAAACAAAAAAATTTAGCCGCTTGCGTCGGTAAAAGCGAACGATACGTCCTTGTCGCCCGTGAGGCGCGCGCGGAAATATTCAATTCTAGCACCTAACGACGAGGAGATTGTCGCTGTCTGCGAGCCACTTTATCGATGATCGGGTAGCCCCGGTGCGGCTGCAATTGGATCCAGATTGCGGAAATTCGAGTGCGACGCCTAGCCTGCCAGCCGCTAATTCTAGCGACATTCGCTTTTGTCGTGCTACGTACCTGCGACGCGTGTTGTAAAGCCAACGATATGTGCTGATGATACATGCTGCATCGTGGTAAATTTAATATTTTACAATAATTTCTTTCATCAGACTCAAAGGAAGTTTCTAGGAATAGATAACGATGAATCGATTGAACGACCTGTATCGGTTTCAATAATCTATCAGCCTCGAAGATTGGCCGCGTTCGAGCTAAACGCTACGTAAAAAGCATCTGTATCCATCAGCATTTCTTAAAAATGACACAGTACTCGGAAGAAAAACAACTTTCTCTCGCGCAACAATGGCGTAGCAAGCTTGACACTGGAGACTTATATATTATTATATTCCGGACGCGCGCTCAAGCATTGTTATGCTGATTCGCATGCAGTAGGCAGTACGCCGCTCAGGTGCTTAAACTTAATGGAGCCGAGAGCGCAATCGTCGCAAGCTTTCGTTTATGTGTTTCCGTTGCGCTTGGCATAGGTACAAATTAACTTGCCCCTCGCCACAAGACTACCGATCAGAAGGCGTTCACGTAGATGCCGTTGCTCTAAGCGCACAACAATCATGCAGCTAATTCGAAAGAGCGCTTCCCTCAAGCTTCAACTTGACCGAATCTCTCCTGAGAAAATGCGCGATATCTGTGCTCGCAGCCTCGACAGAAATATACTTACTGGCTAGCAGAGATAAAGCGACTTTGCCCATCACGGCAGTACTGTAGGACACGACCACGCGTTTCGCCGACGATGCCATCGCTAGTTGAAGTACCGCCAGTATCACGACTAAGGTCAGCAACATCGAGGCACCTGCTGCTGCGAGACCCGCTACCCAAACTGTCCCTGAAAAAGTAAAGAAAAGAAAAGCGTTCAGAAGCCTCGTTTGCACCAGTGTATTTCAAAGCGTAGATTTATAGTGTGAGAAACAACTTGGATGCAGAGATCGTTATAATTAAACTTTCGCGAGATGATTTACCATCTACGATCTTCCTTTTTTACTCGCTCGATCGTTAAACGAGAACGTTGACGGCCAATCGTGGATAATCATACCTCGTCAGCAGAACATCCAGTGCAGTAATCCTCGTTTGAATCGTATAAAAATCCGTTTATATACGAAACGACCGGCAACCTCGCGATCACGTCTTAACAAGGCAAAACCGCGTTATTGCTTTTATCGCAGGCACGTGCTTCGACGAAAACGCACGCGATACTACATAACTTGTTCGCGTGTGCGTGAGTGAGATGCAATCTCCGCGCAAAGATGCTGCGCGGCAGGTCTCCCTTCGAACGCGGGAATTAGATTGCGTTTTGGATGCGTTGAAACAATATGATTTTCGTACATGGGTTCGTGAAATCGACAATATCCCGTAGAGTACGTAAGATCACTGATCTCGGGTGAGTTGGCGTTCTCGAAATAAAGTGACAATGAAGAAAATAGAAACAAGAGAGAAAAAAGCGCAAAACTTTGGTCTTACTGCAACCGCGTATGTTTGACTTTGCACACGGTAACACAACTACACACGTGCGTATCTACGTTTGTATACTCCCTCGCACGAACGGCAGAGAGAGAGAGAGAGAGAGAGAGAGAGAGAGAGAGAGAGAAAGAGAGAGAGAGAAAGAGAGAAATAAAAGCTAGTTTGAGTAGCACTCCGCCGCTTCGAGGCAAGCGTGTTTTATCTAAAGTCACACATTGACACATTAAACATACACGTGCAGCGCGAGATTAGCTGTTTGAACGGCGCATACAAAGGGATTACGCCGCGAGCGCAATTAATTGTGCCGTTCGTTTTCACTGTCTTCCCCGATATAATATCTATAAACAAGAATGACAATTATAAACTCACACATGGGCTTCAGTCTCGTTACTCCGGGACCACAGCGCTCTCTTCCGTACAGCATGTATTTGCACTGCCTCCATGGCCCGAAGTAGCCTCGCTCCGTCGCTGTACTCACTGAAAACGTCAAATTTACATAGCGTTATTTCACTGTGGTAGCCTTTGTTATTACACAATGTTTATTCATTTATTTACGCTGACACTTCGCATTCTCGGTGAGCATCGAGCAGCTCGAACGACATTACGACTCGCTCGAAAATTGCACGGCAATTTATAACTCGACAAAGCCGGCATGAAATTTCGGTCAAACGTCATTCCACCTGTCGTCGCATTACCAAAATTGGTAGCGCGCAATTGCCTATCTGGTAAGGGCTCGGCCAAGCGCGTCGAATATTAACGAAGCTCTGAGCAACATCGAGGCCATTATAATGAACCTCGTCAAAGAGTAAAGGCAGAGGCGTCTTATCTCTCCGGGAGCCACGCGCAGAGCAGAATTTCCATATTATACGACTCAGCGTCGGATTATGGTTGGCGGATTCGAAATGGAAAAACAGGGAGGTTACATCGTCTGGCGAAAATTGGCGCAAGACTGTGGGCTTGCAAACTCAATTTGGCACGTGCAATGACGCACGCAAACGCTAAAACGGCATCCGCCGGACTAAACATCGCGGTGTGCCAAAGGGGCGACGTCGTGCACAACCCCGAAAACCACTTTACAGCTATTGGATTATCGTGGCGGCATCGTTAACCGCCTCCTCTTCACCTCGAAGCTCTCTACTGCTAGGTAATTTATGTGCGAGTGCCGATGAAATTTGCTCGTTGGATTCCGTATTTGAAGACCACCAATTTTGCTTTGTCAATTGTCATTGTCACATGAAATAAGATTACTCATTGCATAATGGCTTCATGCAAATAAATAAAGGAATGCTGCCTCTTTGTCCCGACAACAATCGAGTTATATTAAAACCGCGTTGAAAAGGCTTTTTATTGCCGTTACAAAGAAAACACCTAAGCCTATAATTCATTCGAAATTTCAACATCGCAAATTAAATGGATTATAACGTCGAAGAGTCAAAGGCGCACCAGGACCTCGACGTTGTCATGGCTGGTGCACTCTTGAAAAGTGGCAATCGATTGCCGAGGGGCAGATGATCGTTAGAGAGGCGAATCGATTCGAACGGTAATACGGTGTAGCTCTCGTTTTCCGTGGCGCATTAAAGGCTCCTTTTTCACAATAAGGCTGCGCGTGCGAACTAAAACAGGCCAGTGGATTCCTGTTGGAAGGGCAGCAGGAGACGAGCTTCGCTTTTACGCGCGCCGAGCGAGAGCGACGCTTAGCATCGGCGATGCCGAAGGATTCCAAAAATGCAGAGACGAGAAAGATTAGCGTTTGAGGATTAGCGAGTTGGCTTGGATTGCACGCGGTTGTAAAAATTGAATTTGAGCGCGAGCGCCAGATCTCGCCGTGGCCGCTGCGAGATTATGATCACGCGCGAAAACCTCTCGCACAGCCACGTGATCTTAAGTAATTTTTCGCCGGAACCCGATCCACGGAAGATCAGCTTGCAAGCCGGAGCTGATGATAATCCTCCTCGGATCGCGGAAGCGATCGTGAGAAGCGAGCTTTGTCCCCTTGAAATTAATCCCGCGAGCGAGAGATTGCGCTTGTCGATTGTCGGTATAATTTATGCTTAGGCGGATTAGGGTCACGGCTCCCGAGCGAGCGACGGAGTATAATTCAATTATGCGGAGATGCAGAGACGTGCGTGAGCGGTCAGCGTCCATTTGCTCGCTCGATTGCCACCAAAAGTGTTCGTTGGCGCGTCGCCTTGGTCCCTCTGGCCGATTCGTTCGTAGCTTAGGCGAGTCGCTTTTGCGAGAAGCGGATCGCCCCTCTCGCCGTATCGAACACTCGCCCGGAGAGAGTTGGCATTCCGTTCCGCGAGACGGATTCCCGAAAAACAAGGCACGCGTCGCGCAGAGCACCGCGCCGAGTTTACAGCGGTGTGCCACCTATGTGTTCGTCGTTGACTGTGGCGCGCTGGCTGACCTAGATGTGCATTCCACCGTGGCACGCCTTGGTTATAAACCTCGCCTTCGTCGTTGCTTTGCTTTCTCAACTGGCGACGATGGCCGTGTGTTCCCCCGAGCTTGCGCGAAGCTTCTTGTCTGCGTGTCGTTTCCTTCGCGCAAGGCACTCGCAAGCGCATAAAAGCGATCGTGCCCTGGCATAATGTGGCATCAAGCAGAAAGAAAATTTAATCCCATTGCGTTGTCATCAAAGGCGAGGCAGTCGGTCCAGCCGTGGCGTGGCGTTAACTTGGCACTCTTCTCCAATGACGCACGCGGAGTCTTCGAATTTAATTAGCCCAAGTTATATGTAGCTAATGAGTTTTGCAACCATGTTAGAAAACGTAAGAGCATCGGCTCGCGAGGGCGCGCGCAATACTTGTTCGCCAACTCCGTTACACGTGCCATTATGAAATTCACGGAAAATTCGCACGCTCGCGCGACCAAAGCTCAAAAGATAATGGAGCCTGCGCATAAATTAACGGAGACGGCACAACAGCTCTCCGTCCTACTTAACGCGCACACGACTGTCACGAGCGATTATGACGTTAAAAGCTCGTCGCGTTATTCGTAAACACCCGTGTACGTGCGCGTGGGCGTGCACATGCACGCGCGTGGCCTGAATTAGAAGAGAGAGAGAGAGAGAACTACGACCTCGATTATCTCGGCGATTAAAAAAACTTGTGCAAAGGTGGATCGAATTATACGATTTTCCAATCGAACAGCAGGTTAAACCAGGTCGAAGCAACGTTCGCGCGACAGAGAGCTCGACGTTCGACTCTGTCAGTGTTGGATGGCGAGCGTCGAGACACGTGGCATTTCGGTTAATTCAACGCGAGCAATAGTTCGGTTATTTTCCTATCAATCAAGCATAGCTGCGATGAAAGTCAACGCGACGCAGAGGGACCGGCAACCTTGCGCGTTTCGAGCGAAATTGCAGAGTTGCGACCATTGTGCTCGTCAACAGGCGTCATATCGATTCTTCGCTGCAGCGCGTACTTTCACGCTTGGCACGAAACGCATTAATAAAAAAGGAAGGGGGGAGGGAGCAGTGACGCGCTGCAACCGCGAATGCACGAAACAGGTGGAAACGAGTCGCGCAGCGATCGGATAAGCCCAATAGCCAACCATACGTGATTCCATTTTTCATTGGCTCTCTCCTTCTTCAACCAACGTAAGTCGATCGCAAATCATAAACCTTCTTAACTTCGTTTTACACGTCGATGCGATCGCGTCGAGCAACAATGACGTCGCTCGAGAACTTCATATTTCTCGGAAAAAGTACAGGAGATAAGGGACAATATGCGCGTACATCTGCGCATACGTAAAATGGCATTTCCTGTGGCGCTGGCGCACCGAGTGTAACTTATCTCTTTTAGCGACGGCAACTGCGATACAACTTTTCCTGCACAGAGCGAAAACTCTCAGCGCGCGTACGGCAATTTTTATCGCGCGAGCCCGCGTACAACAACTGCGTCGTGTTCGCGCAAACGCGTGCACGCGTAATAGCCGAATGCAGATTGGCTTTGCAATTGATCGCGAACGAGGCCGCGTCTCTCTGCGTCGGAGTGTGACCAAGCCTTCGCCCCCCCCCCCCCCCCGCCCTTCCTCGTTTCGCGACTACCTTTTGTGTGTGCCAGGGGAACCTATTCTTTTCCTTGAATCGAAATCGCATCGACGAGCACTGGATTGCAGGCATCGAGCGTGAGCTGAATATCGGCGGCACGACGCGCGGAATCGCAATGTGCGTCGTATAACCTCTTGGGCTTGTTTTCCATCCATAATGCGGTTTCGTTTTACGGCTCGCTTATCAGCTCTGCGCTGGCGGATTATCGTTCCGCGACTCGATGCACAGCACCGATTTTCTTTTGCGAACTCTGCGCAGCGATTTCCATTTTCCATCGCGTCCGATCGCATTCACCCTTGACGAATAAATTAAATCACGCGCTTGATTGTCCCCCTCGATAAAATTCGAAAGCAAGGGTAAACTTACGAAATTACGATCACTGGATCCACGAAAGCCTTATGAGGATCGCGCGCCTCACTCATTCGCTGCTCTTCCTCGCTTTTTCTTTCCCTTCTTTTTTTCGCATTCGTGAAAATCCCCATTTTTCACGCCTAGGCAATAAACAGGTGCGGAGGCATTCCGAAGTGAAATATATCCTCTTTTCGCTGGCGCAGCGCCTGAGTGTGCAGCTGCTCTCTCTCACACACACACACACACACGCACATCTCCCTCTCTCTCTCTCTCTCTCTCTCTCTCTCTCTCTCTCTCTCTCTCTCGTACACATGCGAGGCATGCCGTGAATTTTCAGTAGGGACTGAGTAGAAAATGGAGAGTTTTGTTTGTTTTTCATATTGTGTTGTGACACGAGAGCACATGTGTACTTGAGTTTAGTGGAGGTTTTTTACATTTCGTAGATTCGTCTTTGATAAATTGATGAGTCGGCTTCTCTATCATCAGTTTGGAATTATATTGAATATAATTGGTACAATTGAAAAGTAATTGCGCAATGAAACATTTGTCTTGCGACAATCATCAGCTTCGCAAAAGAATGCAATCCTTGCAGTAGGAATTATATAAGAAAAACCACGCCAATCTCGGCGATCGAGTAAAGCGACGTCGATAATAGCATGAGTCGCGTAGCCATTATAACATCCGCCCACGCAGCCAGAGACTGACCGACAGAAAAAGTTATCCCAAGCTGCATTGGAATTGTGGACGCGCGCTCGTGAATCCGTGAAAAATGAGGAGGACGCACGTTAGCCGTTAAATCTACGGCTTATCTTCTTCTCTCGACAGCTGCTGTAGCTTGATATTTATGAACTGACGTGACGTGCGTGTGCTTGTCATTCCTCTTTCAGTCTTGATTGAAAAACGAGACGAAACGTGGCTTGGACACTCCAACTTTTCGGATAACTGCACGATACAACCGCGAGAAGATAAAGAGTCAAAAGAAACCAACTAAACGAAAATCGCTCTTGCGAAATTCAAATGTTGTATTTCCGCTGCGAAACTTTTTTCCATCGCCTACGCGTGCTCTCTT